TTCCTTCAGGCATTTTCATATACAGCTCAAAAATGGAAGAAATCGGATAATAAACACGCCCACCTCCCATACAAAGGTTATGTTTAAAATCACTAAAAGTGTGTTAACCGACTAACGAAAAACGTCAAAAAYACTAAATTYTWYGGRAGAAATGGCAGAAGGAAGCTGCACCCAGGCTTTTTTTAAAAATTGAAAATGGGCATGGCGACGCCTTATGGACCAAAAACCATATCTCAGGAACTACTCTACCGATTTCAATAAAATTCGGTATGTAATATTTTCTTAACACCCTGATGACATGTACGAAATGTGGGTGAAATCGGTTCACAACCACGCCTTCTTCCAATAGAACGCTATTTTGAATTCCATCTGATGCCTTCTCTGTATAATATATACATTAGGAACCAATGATGATAGCGGAATAAAACTTTACCCAAATACAGTATTTGAGCTGAGGTATCCCTTGTGGAAAAATTGTCGTGATCGGACTATAACTTTTCAATGCAATTAAAATAAATGGAAATACAATTCAGTACTCAAAGTACACAAATTGATCCAATCTAATTAATTTTACAGCAAAATAAAAAAATATGTAAATGACGGATAATGAAATCTCGATTATCACTTTATCATGCGAGAGTATAAAATGTTCGGTGACACCCGAACTTAGCCCTTCCTTACTTGTTGATATTGTGTCTGTTACCAAAAAATCGCCGTTCGCGTCGCATTTAACCGTTATAATATATCTATAAATATATATAGACTGTTGAACTGGCATATAAGGAAGCGCATTCCGAGGGACCATTTATCAGCAGCGCAACATGCTTATTGTGAAGGTACAAAAATGTATACTTGAGGAAGCCATTAGGGTTAAGGAATTCACTGTAAGGACTTTCCTTCATATGAAGGGAGCTTTCAATAACTTCCTCCCGGAAACAGTCGCAACTTCTCTGCACAGTCTTGGGGTTGAAACAAACCTCAAATACTTCGTATTCAGTCTTCTGTGCGACAGAGAGATTGAAAGGGAATGGTTCACCGCACGAGCTCGACCACATGTGAGTAGTTGAACGCCACAAAGTGGAGTTGACGCAAGGGTATATCAAAGTCGTAACTAAAAGGCAGTCTTAAATGGTCTCTCCATAAACTCAATTAAAACTGAGACGGTTTTATTTACTAGAAGATACAAGATCCCGATGGCATCGCTGCCTCAAATGAGAGGCATTTATCTGCAACCGACGGATACAGTGAAGTATCTAAGGCTCATCCAGAATGGGAAGCTTTGATAAAAGCTGACTGCTGTAGAGAAGCCATTGGAAAAATGTGTGGTCTCTCACCGAAAGTTGTCTCCTGGCTGTAGGACACCATAGTCAAGTATGTTATATTCTATGGAGTCTTTATGTTGTGATGATGAGCTAGCAAAAAATGGTACCCAGAACCACTAACAGTAAAATAGGAGCGGATCGGTGCTCCCGTAAAAGAACTGGCACAGTCGAATTTCACAAGTTTCTCTTAAACCGAAATCAGCTGCAACAATATAGAAACCTTCCATTAATCCCGGCCTGACCACGACCGTTTGCGCTTGACATTGCTTATGATCCAGTTTTTCACACCTGTAACAATCCGCTTTAGAAAGGGTTCAACTTTATTAGGATTCTGCATTGATTCACAGAGGGAAATTCGAGCCATGTGGTGCGATTGCCTATGCGACATCCACACCTTTGTATTGAGCGTTATTTTAGTGCATCTAAACAGTACTTTTACCAGTGTATAGATTCAGGATAAGTCCTAAACAATATTGCTTACATGACTGTCTACCGAAACGATTTCGATTATTGTATCAATAATTGCCCTTTCACAGCGTGCTTCAACTCCGACATCAAAATTATCAGAAAGGATATGACGAAATCAAAATTCATGTCCTGAAAGCTGGTTCCTCAATTTTTTCAGATATAGATCTGAAATTTTGAACACGACCTTTATTTCCAAGTAGAAGCTCAGTTGTCGGAATCGCCGATATCAAGTGCTGTGTGGAGAACTTTTTCATTTAACGGCTTACCAGCACGAAATTTGGCTTGGGTTATTGTCCAATTTAATGGTGAAATTTCCGAAGAAATCATTCTTATACATACTGCCATACAAACTGAATGTTCAAACTAACGTTACTGCATGAACAACTTTTTCTTTTTAAGAAATCTTCATGTAATGTGATACGTGTTATTGGTCAAGACAACTCCGCAATTTTCGAGTTTTGGATTTTCTACTTTTTGGATTTTTTCATCAGAGTACCTGAAGAACTAATGAAATTTAGGATAACCTTATTGTAGGAGCATGATATTGCCTGTCTGCTGCGGGCCAAACGCTCGTTAATTTTTTTCTTCCTAAGAAATAGCAAAGATCTAATATCAAGCAGTGAGGCCGAGTAAGACAACTTTCGATAAAGCGGGTATAAGCAGAAGCGGAATTTATTTCTTTTTTTTACTTTATCACCATATTCCTTGGCAACTGGCTAAACTGTGTGGGCGGAGTTGCAGGAATGGCAAAAAAACTCGTAATAGATAGTAGAAGGGCTGGAGCTGCTGCTAAGCTTTTTAACTTAGTTCATTCTTCGCTTGCACTTTGGCTTTCGCCATTTCTGCCAGTGACACTTATTTATATGAATTTGAAAGTTTCAAGCCGCCCACTGTCAGCAACTTTCAGCATATTTTTCCATTCACAAAAAATATTCTCCTCACTTGTATCGCAGTTAAACGAGTCGCGCTTATTTATTTATTTATATAATATATTTATATATATATATATATGTATATATATGTATGTGTGCAATATTTTTATGCGATTTCGCTTTATGGCTGCTTTGTGTCATCGCTGATTTATTCACTTAAAAAA